AGATAAAACAGAAATTGCTAATGGGTTTCCTTTTGGAGCTATGTTTGGTATAATGTGGCCAGTTTTAAAAGAGCAAATAGTCAAAGCAAGCATTTTTGCACAGCGTATGAAACAATTCTGTTTCCCTTTATGTGACTTTAAATCCTGTGGGTCAGTAAATCAGACTTCAGTCATTCTTTTTGTGTTTCAGGAGCTTTTCTTCCGCTAACATTGACTCAATTCCAACAGGGTTTGAGTTATAAACTGAGCTCTATGGGGGTCTTTAAAACACACACACACACACACACACACACACACAACACACACACACACACCAACACACACACACACACACACACACACACACACACACACACACACACCACACACACACACACACACACACACCACACACACCACACACACACACACAGCAGCAGCCCTCTACTTGCTACAAACTAAGTTAAATATGAAAATGTTCAACTACGCACACCACATAACACATCATCTTGGCTCGCGCAGCACGCTCACAGGCATCTATTGCGCAACAATGTATTGCGCACCTTTGAGGTGCAGTGCTGGCATATTGTCATTTAAAGTGGACCTATCATGCTATATTTGAAAAATATATGTAGGGCCATATCTATATAAAACATGTCTGTGAAGTTTTTTTTTCAAAATACCAAACAGATCATGCATTTTAGCCATGCCTCATTTCACTCTATTTGCTCTTTTCCAGCCCTGTTTTTGCAAGATCTGATTCTGTGACGTAGCTTTAATACAAATGAGCTGCAGCTGACCACGCCCCCCTGCAGGAGAGGGGAGCGTGCTCTGAGATCAGCTGCTGGTCTCTCAGAAGAGGGGGAGGAAAAGAGAGGCTCCGTCCTCCGTGTATTATTATTATATTATTATATCAAGTCATTATTCATTTGTTTTAAAGCTCAATAAATAACAAAGAAGACCTTTGACCGGCACTTTTCTAATTTTGTCCGGAAGATTTAAACTTTAACGGACATGTTGACCGGCAAAAAAAAAACTAACTGAAACTCTGCCGCACGGTGCCCTCGTCCCTTGGAAGAGGCGGCGAGGTGGGTGTTTGTCATCTGCTGGTGGACTACCGGGTATAATTACAGCAGCAGTAGCAAACGCTTGCCTCGGGGAGGGAGAAAAAGAGCCACAGCGGAGAATAAACAGAAGGGCAACCATGGCAACCATGGCAACCATGCACGGGAAGTCTTCTTCGCTGTGTCAGACTACAGCGGCACTTACAGGCCTGGCATATGTACTACAGCGTCTCCAGCGCTTTCGATCGGTCTCGTTTGAACGGATACGTCTCGTGTGAACGGACACTTTTCCGGGCTGACGTCAGCTTGAATGGAATCTGTATCCGCTCGTTGTAGTCCCATTTTTAAAAGATTTGGGTACGGAGGAAAAGAGAGAGGGTTTTATTTGCTGACGCTGTGTGAGTTCCCCGACGCACCGGGGACACATATAAAAGACATCACAAAGTGCACTTTGCATGATAGGTCCCCTTTAAGAGAGCCTAGTTATTTTGGAAAACATGTTTTTCTTTTAGCCTATTTACCTCGTTAACGTAAATAATACTCATTACATTGACACATGCATTATTTGTAACTAAAATAATGGTTATTGGTAATGTATTAGCGACCCCCACAGATGTATGATTTCACTGCGTCCGTGGGAGCTCAGACCCCATTGGCTCCCACATAACTCGAACCTTGGTCATATACATGCACACATGCTTGCCAGACCAGCCACATGCTAGTCACTTTTGGCTTTAGGGGGTGATTTGTTTTTCCTCTTGCTTGGTCAACAGGAAGATAACCTTTCCATGTATTGGCCAGCGGCCTTGCTGCCTCTGGCGTCCTCCAAGGCTTTAATTAAAGCTCTAATTGTGCAGACAGACTATTCTCTCATTATATCTACTCTTTTCTTTCAACCTGGTCCCTGTCCCCTGTTCAATTATCTGAACTCTCTATTGTGAAGGCCACTTGTCAGTAAAGCATGGAGTGGGAAGGAAGTACATTCATTTGAATGATGTGCTCTTAGATTTTCACTCTGACCACATTTTCATCAGTCATCAAATGTAGCAAGTTAGCAACTGAACTTGCCAAAACAAATTGCCAATTGCACAGATATTATCTTTATTATTATTCTGATCAATTGTTCAACTATAATATCAGTATATCTTCCATACCCTGTTTGTTTCATAATATGAAACATTTCAGTTTTTAGATCCTTGACTGCCATTTATTTAAAGTATGTTGCCATATTTTCAAGGTAAAAAGTGATGCATTTATCGGTGGTTAATTTTATAGAAACCTTTCAAAATAAACTTGCATTAACAATTGATTTCTTTGAATTAAACCACAGCCAAATGTATTTTATACTGAGTGGAAGGAGAACAAAACCATAGCCTCCTCTTCAAATCTTCTGTCCAGTCAGGTATTGTGCCAGTGTCATAATTAAGTGCAAGAAATTGGGTGAAAATGCCTTAATTATGTTCTCTAAAAGCTCCCGCACCATCCAAGCCAACGCAAACCCCTTTTGTTGTTGAGCAATTACATTACTTCTTAACTTATGCTTCTTTTGCTTTGTCTGGCGTCCATTTTCTGAATTGGCCTCCATCCATGCCTCTTAGATATGAAGAGAAATGGAGTAGATAGACATTTAGAGATTGAACAAGAAAGGAAGAGCAGCAGAGTGAAATAAGTCGGGCAGAGTGGTGGAGAAAAGGATTATTGAATATTGCGCTATTGATAGTCAGGGACGTCATTGTGCATTTGTGCGTAATGAGGGACACACAGAGCCATGCCAACTCTTATTGACTTCAGGCCGTAGGATTATTGCTGCACTTATTCACTCCCTGATTATTGCCCACTCACCCCTGCAAAAGAAACAATCTTGTATACAAGTCTATGTGTAGCTCCTTCTCCCCATTCAACCTTACACAGGTGAATATAACATGAATCACCGACAATACGATATACAATGTTAAAGCAAACTTCTTCAAGATGCAACATGTCCACATTCTGTTGAAGACCCACATACTGACATGGTGTCCCTACAGTCTATTTTGGATCAGCATTGCCCTTGCCTAATGTCCCTGCTGTATAACTTGCACTCAAAGGTCAAAGTTTAATGAAACATTTGCAGTTACAAGCACTGACCCTGACATTCAAAGGCAGCACTCTGTGCCCTCAAAAATGCATATTGTTAATTTTAGTATGCATTATTCTTCGGGGCAGACAAGCTATACATAGCTGTTTGGCCTAGCTCCGTGGCCTCCATTCAAAGCACTTTACCTTGTTTAAAGACCTTTTAAATAATTAATCGAGTCCATCAGCTTCAAAGGGAGGGATCAATCGATTGAGCAAATCCCTCAGTCCCATTCTTGAGGAAGCTTCCATGATTTTTCCCCCTTCTTCACAAATTATTTATTCTTAGTGCTTCAAACGAAACATGTTAATAGGATTAAGTGAAATGGAAATGATGCTAAAAAGTGATGTGTGGCCTCATATCATCCTTGATCCTAAGGTACAGTGGGTGTACTGTGTTTTTTAATGAATACTGGTTAGCACAGATATATATCAAGGTCAGATGAAAGAAAGTTAGGTGGGTCTTCTTGAAAGGTCATCTGCTGTGAGATGCCTTGCAGTAAGGGAGAGAAAATGATAGTGATGATGGCTGAGAAAGATGGCCCCTAAGGACTGTTGCTTTGCTGTCAGTTCTTACTCTTACCTAGGGGTCAATATCAGCAGTGTATATCTCTGTGTCTGGGTCTCCTAAGCAATGCAACCTGGACAACGTCTGTATTATTTCACCCAGTTGGAGCTGGCATCGTTAATCATCCACATCTCCTTTTGCGGCCCCAGCTCCTCTTTGTGCCCCAGGCTTCTCTCCGCCCTTTTATTCCCCTTTAGTATCTTGTCCTTTTGCCTACCTTCGATGTCTTTGTATTCTAAGTATAGACATACTTTTATTTCACATCAACAAGTTCATAGTGAACATTGTGGTCAGTATGTAATATGCAGGTTACATTGAGCATTCACTTGCATTTTAAATGTGTCCAATTTGCATTAAATGTCATGTTCAATACACTTTAGCTGTGTAAATTGATTCCCAATTCCATATAGTTTTAATATGTGCTGCACTAAAGAGTAAAATGAATATTATATGCATAGCATTTCAGTTAATAAGCAGTGTGGTCATGCTTTCTGTAAACCGTTTTAATAACATTCTTTAGACATAATGGAATTCAGATTGCATGCTGATACTTGTATAATATACCAAAGATTTCTTCTCTCCTGATTATATCCTTGATTTGCATAATGAGCCAACATGAATTACGAAGCAAGAATATAATGAAAGGATTTCAAACTGCACGTCTAAAAGCACTGTTCACCAAAGAACACATTGGCTTTCATTCTTAAAGTTGGATTAGAGAAGACTTCTTAATGTTTGTTTCTGTCATTATCTGTGCTTTCACTCTCTCCAAGGTTACACTTTCTCAGTGATTGAGGCAGGCGTTGACAACTTTACATCCACAGAGTACGAGGAGTGATGTGTGCCAGAAAGGAGCTAGAATGAAAAGAAAGCATGGTTTGAGTAGGAGGGAGTACATGCACAAACTTCTGGAAGGCCTTTAATACACAGGAGAGGGAAGGAAGCCATGCTAGCTCAGATGAACACTGGTCTTCCCCCACAGCTGTAACCTGCATTTGGCTTTATTTTCCAGTGTTTTAGGTCATCTAATCTACAGGGCATCACTAGCCTAAATCTGGCATGTTGTTGGCCGGATCTCTTTCTTTGTGTCTTCCAATGGGCCAAAGCAAAATCAGTTAATATTTCAGAACTACAGAAAACACATGCTTTGGGCTTTTTACCACCAGGAGTGTGCTTTATGAATTTGGAACCACAACTCTTAATCCAAATTAAAAGAAACGAGTACCATTTACAAATAATAATGCTTAAACAAGTATTTTGATTCTGCTTGTCAGGTCCCCAAACGACTACTCGTTGGCACTGTTTATCATCTGGATGAGGCTATGCAGATTGAGGCTTTCCAAGAACTTTGAATGTAAGTGTCCATCTCAGTTTTCAATTATAATTTATTTGTGATTTTTAACCCTTTGTTGGCATGAAACCCACGTAAATAAATACTAGAGGTGAGAAGGACTGCACTCTTGCTATTTATAATAAAACCTTCCAATCTATCCACACTAATTTATGTATGTCAGAAGATAATTTGCTCAAAAATCCCCATACATCAGTCTATAGCAACATACGCTAGTTAGATCGACTGATATACTTCCACGATAATGAATCCCATAGCCCCAAAAAAAACAACCGGCAGATAACACTTTGATCTCATTTGTTATTTATGCGTGTTTTTCAATGATATATTTTTTCTAGATACAAGGTTTCCAACTAACTCCGATCTCTATCCAAATGACAGACAAAGCTTCGAGTGGGTCATTTCCAGCTGTATGACCATGACATTTGTCATTTCCCAGCTAAAGGAAGAGACATTGATCCGTGTTGAGCTAGCTGTCCACTCCTTTTAATTTAACGGCCATTGGCTCATTGTAATGCCTCAGTGTCCTACAGGTGTCATTGGATCCATCACTGGAGATGGGCTTGATTGGCTATGCAAGATAGCTATAGCTCATTAGAGGCAATGGAACCGATGAGATTCCCATTTTCACGGCTTCCCTCATTCGCATATTGACCACAGAATTAACTGATATGCCATTGTTTGACTGGCAGGATGAAGCACTTTTCAAGATGTTCATTTCTTTTTTTTTAATAATATAGTTTATGTTTTACATAGCAGTTTAGAAAAAAATATCAAGAGCATTATAAATGTTTATCTTTTTAATAAATCCTGGACTATTTTGATCTGTTCACTGTTACTGGTTACTGTGTCTTTCACACGGCAGTTTATAATTTATACTGACATTTAAGAATATCCAATGTGTTATTAAATTGGCATTGAGTTTGTGAGTCAGGCTGCCTTTAAAAGCTAATGGAAAGTGAAATGCTCAGTTTTGAGTTCCGTACAACACTTTATCGGCCTAATGGGTTTAACCGTTCAATACCTCTGACCGTCTTTATTCTTGTGGTTTACAAAGATCTAACAAGCTTAATCTACACTGGTTAAATAATAGGCTTTTATCTACTGAGCACAAACACTCACACAGGCTTACATGCATATGCAACATTCCAACTTATAACTTTATACGTTAAATCCCAGAGAAAAAATGATGCATGATGCAGCTTTCCTACTCATAAAACTGGGACTCTTCTTCCAAAAAGGAACGTTAATAATAATACATGAGACTTGTACTGTATAGCGCTTTTCTAGAAACTCAACGACGCTTTGACAGAGAATAAAACCAGAAGATGGGGGGGGGGGGTCAGTGGTTGAATTCAGTGTTGAACAGGTGGGTTTTGAGTGATATTTTGAATGCTGTGAGGGAGGAAGAATCTCTGATGGATTGGGGTAGTGAGTTCCAGAGGGTGGGTGCAGCAACGGAGAAGGCTCTGTCGCCCCAGGATTGAGGTTGGTCCGGGTGGGGAGGGACAGGAGGTTGGCAGCAGCAGAGCGGAGGGAGCGAGTGGGAGTGTGTCTGTGGAGGAGGTCAGTCAGGTAGGATGGGGCCAGGTTATGGAGGGCTTTGTACTGAATTCTCTGGGGGAGTTGTTAAGAACAACTTAAACAAACGGTTTTCATAGTAATACTTTTTTAGTATATACTATTTGTTATGAACTAATCTTTGAAGGTCAGCTCACACATAAGAGATGATATTAAAATTGTTCATGGAACAGTGCAAATGCAAAGAGATTGGGTTTTGTAAAGTGTGTCTTTACAGGAAGTGAGTTATTGCTAGGGATGCTCCGATCGATCGGTCACCGATCGAGATCGGCCGATACTCACTCTCTACCGATCGATCGGTGCTCTCTAAACATGCCGATCGCGAGAGCCGATCGCATTACGTAAAATACATGACACTTTTCTCTGTGCGCGGCAAAACAAGCTCGCCAAAATGGCTTCACCGGTCTGGCATTATTTTAAGGTGTCCGAAAAAGACAGTAAAATAGCGGTATGCAACGTGTGTGTGTGTGTGAAGCAGAAATCCTGCAGCTCCGCCCGCCGGACAGGTAAGCGCAGCAAAACACACACAGGGAGAACCAGACCGCAGTTCATTTCCTCATATTCCATCGAGAAATTACGGTAGCAAATCACCCGGTTCTTTACGACCAGAACTATTAACGGGATACTAAACGGAGGAACCAGGCATGGAGGGAGGTGGCAGAGACAGTGGGTGAAACTGGTAGGTTTTCGCCTGTTTGGGGAGTTTATATATATATCGCTCGCATAAAATCCCCGGGGTTTTTTGCTTTGTATGTCGGGGGCGGGAGATTCATGTGATTGGTTGTTGGTCGCTTTGCTCGCAAAAAATCCCCAAGCTTTCAGACACACCCAGCTCCAAGATTTTCAAGATTTTTGAAAAGCTGCTGTGTGGACGTACCGTACGGCCCGTCTACACTACAGGCGTCAAAAAATGCTTTCAACGCTTCGCCCATTCATTTGAATGGGGTGACGTAGGATATTTTCAAACTTCGCCGAACTGCATTGTGGGTAGCATGGCAAGGCGTTGCAAGCATCGCGAGCGTCTATCGGCGTCAAAAGTTGAACAATGTTCAACTTTTGAGGCTCGAAGCTGGCGTCAGCCAATCAAATCCTGTTTTTGCAATTCCCGCCAGTACAAGCGCTAGCCAATCAAACCGCGTGCAAGCTGGGAGAGCCAGTTCATTTCCTCATATTCCAAACGAGAAATTACGGTAGCAAATCACCCGGTTCTTTCCGACCAGAACTATTTACCGGGATACAAACCGGAGGAACCAGGCATGGAGGGAGGTGGCAGAGACAGTGGGTGAAACTGGTAGGTTTTCGCCTGTTTGGGGATTTTATATCCAGTTTACTTCGTTTTAACATTGCTATTGCTTTGTATGTCGGGGCGGGAGATTCATGTGATTGGTTGTTGGTCGCGTTGCTCGCAAAAAATCGCCAAGCTTCAGACACGCCCAGCTTCAAGATTTTTTTATGAAGCTTCGCAAATTGATTGATACAAGTTATATGCTTTTAAATATTAACTTACTTGCAAAATATAAAAGTCTGCAATTAGATACTGTAGGGCAGGGGTAGGCAAGTAAGTTTGGCCGTGGGCCAATTTTTTGCTGAGCCGCAAGATGGCGGGCCAGAACATAATCAAAGCCTAATTCAAGGAATTGATTTTGGTAAGAGGGCGCAGCGCCCCTGTTCCCCGGTTCAGAAAAAACTCTGATATCGCTGATAACCCTCCCCATCAACATTCTGATGCGCAGTCAGATCCGCTGATTGGTTCACTGATGATATAGGCGCCCAATCCAGAGCCTCTGGCTAGACCCGCCCAAAGGGAGGCTCGTCCTCTCTAGCCCCATTTCAGTCCCAAAGCCAGGGCTATTATCTGTATTTTAACAGACTTATCTTTTAAATTGAGGTGTATTTATTGTTCTCTTCAAAGTTTATTTTTCTCTGAAATTGTAGGGAGGATGGTCCTCCTTTTCCTCAATGGACGAGCCTCTACTGAGTAAAGTAACTAGCAGTGTTATTTAACATACTTTTATTCTGATAAGTATTGTCAAGTTCTCTGGGTTTTTGGCATTTATTTGAGTGTTTGCCCACATTTGAGAGGCTTGAGGGACAACTGGAATCCTTTTTCCTTTTCTTTATTTCAACTTTTCAAGGACACATTAGGATTCTTTCAGGTTGAAAACCTTTAAAAAATACCAAAGGACAAAATAAATCAATTACAGCAGTTTTGCTTTGCAATTTCATATATTATAACTTAATCAGTAACCAAGTATTTTACTCAAACTCAATGTATTTAATAGTTAAATAAGTACTTTAATTGACCTGGTTCCCCCCAACCACACATTTGCCATATGTGACCCGCTCTATCGAAATCAGTCGAAAGTCGCAACGGCTCATTTCAAAATAAACGTGGATTTGCGTAAAAAAATAGTTTTTCGGGGATCGGGTGTTTTGTTTGATTTTAAAGAAACAAAGTCTTGGCTTTCAGAATATGACATTTTTATTTCCAAAATCACACGATAAATACATGTTTGAAGCTTGTAAAGGGAAGATGACAGCTCTCCCTAGCCACTCTGCTCTTCCACAGCGCCGCTTCCCCTCCCTCCGCTGACAATATGAATGTAAACGGATATGTCGGGACAGAATTTATTTTACCGGACAAATTTGAAACTCACCGGTCATGTTTCAATAATAATAATAAGAATGGTGTAGCAGAGTTTCTGTTAGCAGGTAATCACCGGACTATGACCGGATATAGGCTACTGATGTTTAAAACTCAGTTAATGGGGCTCATTTTTATATTGCTTCAGTTTATAATCGTTACAGATCGAAAAGTTCAGATTCATTTTTCAATAAATGATTCCACAAACAACAAAAAACATAATTATTACATTCAAACAAACTACTTGTAGTAGATGAAAGTACCTTATTCAAAAGTTTACAATAACTTTGAATAATAACACGGGAGAAACGGATGCTCTCTTTTCCCCTCTCCCTCTCTCTCTCTCTGACAGCCCGTCAGTTTCTCAAGCAGCTCGCTAAACAGTGGGCGGGGCTTCAGGTGATTATGCAGAGCTGCGTGTCTCCGTCAGACTCAGCAGCTGGTCTGATCTCTCTCTTGCGTCCGGTTACACTTCACTCGCGTTTATGTCCATATCGATCAGATCCAGCTCTCCTGATCGGCCTTTATAGAGAGCACCGATCAAACTATTAAGAGTGAATATCGGCCGATAATGTCGGTCCTATGTTGTAAATAAATAAAAAACATTTTTATTTTTTATTTTTGATTCTCAAAATTACGGGCCAAATATTATTGCTGGCGGGCCAACAATGGCCCGCGGGCCGCCTGTTGCCGACCCATGCTGTAGGGGTTCAAATCATCTTTTGTGCGTCATAATGACCTCAACATTATCAGGTATTCTCTGCACCCCAGACACATT